TTGAATAATGCAGCCAGTCATAAGCGTTGATTTTATATAGTTGCAGTCGTCAAGGTCTTTTGATAATGTATTTGTGACAATATGTATAGAAGAATACTAAAGCAGACTAAAAACTTGTTATAGCGTATTTTTCTTCAAATATGCATATTACTAAGATATACAATATGTAATTGTAATTGAACATGTAACCATATATATGTACGAGTTCTTATTACATGTTTATTATGCTAATGTTACTATAGATTCTTTTAATCGTGCGAGATATACAATTATACATTAACTTACAATGTGTTGATTACTTAAAAGTAACTTACAATTTATGAAACCTAACATTTTTATTATTTGATCTAATTTTTGCATTTGAACAATTAAATGTATACTCAATTTTTCGCAAAGTCTAAATTTATCTTCTAATAAATATCTTAAAAAGTATATAAGTATTATGAAAATAAATTAAAATATTATGAAAATATTTTCGTAAATGAAACTTTCGAAAAGAAGCTATTGGCCAAATCACACAACCACGGGTTCCATACTTCGACTGCTGTCGGCAATATTACTCGATATAATGACGGCCAATGTTCATTCGCAAAATTCACGACAAGATTATCTGCAAATAAAAATTTATATGAAATGGAGATGTAATTTCCAGAAAAAACTAATCACGACCAAATTTGAATAAAACAGCTTTGTACTTTCGATAAAATATATATAATAATTAATAGACGTTTACTTCGTAAAATCATGAGTTATTAATTTTTAATATGTGTAAAATATATCGTATTTGAATTAATGTACTCACTGAACTCTTTATTGCGAATATTATATACCAAAATAGAGCGTTAATTTTTTAATCGAAGGAGCTACATAAAAATCTACAGTCCATATATCATTTGTTACGTGGCTTTTTGAAATCCATGGTCTTTGCAGATCTTCTGCAGTTATATTGAATGGTCCTGGGCATAAATTATAATAGTAATATAAATATGATATTATAATGTTTTTCGATTTAAAAAAATGCACAGAGTGTAATATCTCACCTTTGCCAATTATTCTGAACTTTGCTAGCGTACCTTCTGCTTTAAGTTCACCAGAACCAACTATTTTTGGTATTTGTACATTAATTTCCAAGCGAGAACTTCATCGGCAAAATGCGATTTCACAGCCAAAAAACGAGTCTTTGACAAACTCTCACCAATGTAATTTGATACGTTTGCTACTCCGTGTATTGCGTCTCTATCAAATACTACGTTACCAAATTCAAAAGTAAATGGATCCAAAGGTGGAAAATTGAATTCTGGAAGCCCTGTCATAATAAATAAGTTAATATTAGTATCGGTATCTTGATATATAATTACGTATTAAAATTATTGATAAAAAATAGTGATATATATATATATATTGTAATTTTTTTTATTCTAACAAGATATAATTTAATCAGTTTATAAAAATTGATGAAAGTTTTATTACTGTTATAATTAATTTAACAAACATTTTTAAGATGACATTTTATAGTGATTATATATATATGCATAGTTCAGTTGTTATGAAAACATGTAAATAATATAATCAAATTAATTGCTTTTGAAGTATACCTTTCACAAATTGTGGCCATGCTTTTTGTATTGCGACTTTTAAACAGTCAGAGTAATTAACTGAATTTTGTTTACAGATGGTGATAGGTGCTAGATAGAAATAAAAATAAAATACAATAACAATAGCAAAAATAAGAAAAATCTGTGAAGTAAGAGAATTTTAAGTATAATTTGGAAATTAGATATTTGCTAATTTATATTAATTTATTAATTGCTTGAAAAATACAAAATAACAGACTTCTTATCCTTTTTACTAGTAGGATAAATTGTGTTGTAATATTTAAAAAAATGCAAAGTATCTTCAAATACTTACGAAGAGGTACTTCTTTTGCAGCACTAAGTCCAAACACTACAACGATGAATATACAAAGTGCGTAAAACATCTTGTTTGTTGAAAATTTATCCGTGAATAGTCCAGTCAGTTGTAAGCGTTGGTTTTATATAAGTTCCGTCGTGAAGATTTTTTTTTAACAATGTATCGTGAGAATAAAGAAATAGATCAGAAAACTACTTATTTTCTTCAGCAAATATGCAAATTATTGAGAAATAAAATGTTTACTTGTATTGAACATATAATCTTATATGTATGAGTTTTTGTTACCTGTCTATTAAACTAATATTACTATAGATTCTTTTAATCGTGCGAGACATACAATTATACATGCAATTTACAAATAGCCGATTACTTATATGTAACTTACAATTTATGAAATTTAAAATTTTTAATGTTTGACTTCATTTTTGCATGATTTTTGTATGATTGAATATATATCAAACTTTTTACAAAATTTAAATTTATGTTCTAATGAATCTCTTCAAAAGTATGTAGGTATTGCGGAAATATTGTCGTAAAAGAAACTGTCGAAAAGAAGCAATTGACCAAATCACACAACCATAGGTTCCATATTTTGGTTGTTAATCGGTAACATTATCGATATAAAGACGACCAATATTCATGTGCAAAAATCACGGCAAAATCATCTGAAAATATATAACAAAGTGCTTTCCAGAATAAAGACAACTAATAATCAAGACAAAATTTGAATAAAACTGCGTTATATTTTCAAAAATATATATAAAAATTCATAAACGTTTACTTTGTAAAGTCACGAGTTTTTAATTCTTAAAATGGTGAAATATATTTGTATTAGCTTGCTCCCTGAGCTCTTTATTGCCATGGAATAAATCTACAAAATACAGCTTCATTTTTTTAATTGAAGAAGCTGCATAGAAATGTTCTACTGTCCATCTATCTTATTTGCCATTTGGCCTTTTATAATCCACGCTCCTTCGAGATCTTCCATAGTTACTTGCCATAACAAAAACTTGGTATCTTTATTTTTCTTTATATATTTAATACTTTTAACATTTTTAAATACTGGAAAAATTTTTAAATATCTAAAAAATAAATAGTTTTAAGTATTTTGTAACTAACAAATACAAACTTTTTTAAAAATTGCAACGAAATAAAGATTACTCTGATATATTGCAACATCTATTAGTCTGATCATTAAAACCGTGCGATACAATTACACATGTGACTTACAAATAACCGATTACTTATATGTAACTTACAATTTATGAAATTTAACATTTTTGTTATTTGACCTAATTTTTGCATTCTTTTGCATGAGTGAATGTACACTACATTTTTCGCAAAATCTAAATTTATTTTTTAATCAATATCTTAAAAAGTATATAAGTATTATGAAAATATTTTCGTAAAAGAAACTTTCGAAAAGAAGCGATTAGTCAAGTCACATAACCACGGGTTCCATGCTTTGGCTGCTGCCGGTATTACTATACGATATAATGACGGCCAAAATTCATTCACAACATTCACGGCAAGATCATCTGCAAATAAAAATTTATATATAATAATGTAATTTCCAGAAAACACTAATCACGACAAAATTTGAATAAAACGGCATTGTATTTCAATAAAATATATATAAAGGTTAATAGATATTTACATCGTAAAGTCATGAATTATTAAATTTTAATATGTGTGCAATATATTTGAATAAATGTACTCACTGAGCTCTTTATTGCCTCTGACTAAATCAAAATATATCCTCACTTTTTTAATTGAAGGAGCTGCATAAAAATCTTCTACAGTCCATATATCATTTGCTACTGGGCCTTTTATAATCCATTTTGTTTCGAGGTCTTCCATACTTAGGTTGAAGGGCCCTGCCGCATAAATTATAATAGCAATATAAATATGATATTATAATGTTTTTCGATAAAAAAAATGCACAGAGTGTATTACTTTACCTTTGCCATTTAATGGAAACCCTGCTATATTACCTCTTCCAACAACATCACCAGAACCAGTTATTTTTGGCATTTGTGTGTCAATTTCCAAGTGAAAAATTTGGTCGGCAAAATGCGATTTTACAGCCAAAAAACGAGTCTGTGGTAAACCCTCACCAATGAAATTTGTTACGTTTACTACTGCGTGTATTACACCTCCTTCATATATTGCAGACCCAGATTCATAATTTATTGGTTCCAAAGGTGGAAAATCAAATTCCGGGAGACCTGTCATAATAAATAAATCAATATTTGTATCAGTGTCTTGATATATAATTACGTATTAAAATTAATGATATTAGCGATATAAAATTAGTGATATATATATATATATATATATATCAAAAATTTTTTTACTCCGTTTATATATAATTTAATCAATTTATAAAATGAAAGCTTCATTACTGTTATACCTAATTTGACAAATATTTTTAAGATAACAACATTTTACAGCGATTATATATACATATATGTATAAAACATGTAAATAATATAATCAAATTAATTGAGTTTAAAAAAGTATACCTTTAATAAATTGTGGCCACG